TTGAGTCCTCAATCTACCAATACGATTTTAACTAGGTCCTCACGTCGATTTAGTCAAAAGCTTGAACATTAAATACCAACTTTAGATATGATGCAAACCATATTTGAAACACATTGATATTCTAAACATTGTACACCTATTGTACGGACAACTTGACTATGACGTGTTACGAAATGTCCCTATTAAATTTTAATAAAACCGTTTATTTTTACTTATTAAATCTAAATTATCAATGCAATTCAACGCATTATTTTTAAAAAAATTGATACTCAATTAAAATATTTTAGAGTTTAGAAATCAATTTTAAATTTACATTTAGCCTAGGGAACAAACCTTGTCTTGGGAATCTTAGATGGGCCTTGGCCCCTAAATCGGTAAAGTCATATAGGGTACATTAAATCGGGAAAGCGACCCACCCAAAATTAAAAAATGCATTTTTTCCAATTATTTATCCCATAAAATTACAATATTTATTTATTTTTCGTTCGTTTTCTTTATTTTTTTTTCAGTTTAGTTTTTCTAAATTAGTATTTAAAATACTACCTTAATTTTTATTCCCAAAAAAATGTGGGAAGTTCACCGGTATTAACCGGGAATGATCCAATCGGCGAGCAACATTGCAAGGGAAATTTACATAAAAGAGAAAAAAGGTTAAACTACAGCCTTTATCCTTTTACTGTGATCTTATTAGACATCTAGATCCTAGAATTTAATTTTTCGATGTATTGGTCTGACTAATTAACAATTTTAATTAGGCTTAATGAATAAATAAGTGCTCAAACTATACTCTTTATTAACAATTGGTGCTTAAATATTTTTTTCGCTCAAAATAGATACTTATTATTATTTTTCATTGCACTTTTAAGTGTCTATAACGTAACAATTATTAAATTCTGTCGTTAACTGTCACGTGTCGCCCTCATATTTTTTGATTTTTTTTAAAAAAAATTATTATTATTATTATTATTTAAAAACCCATGTATTTTCCTATTTTTTTCACAAAACACCACAAATCATAAAACCCCAAATACCTCCAAATCCATACTAAAATTTCGACAAACTCCACCCACCGATGACGAAACCCACTACCGCCCATTCCTAACCCAAATTTCGGTGAAGTCCAGTGGAGTCCGATAGTTTATGTTGATTTTTGACCGACAATCAGTTTAGAGATGATGACAAAGGACTGCCAACAGTGGAGTCCGATGACTAGTGGTTATACGGTCGATGAAAGTGACAACGACCGATAAAAGAGTTGGATGATTTGTGTTTATGAATCTTATGGATCTTTTTTATATTTATGAAATATTTGGATTTTTAACATTATAATTTTATTTAAAGATAAAAAATTAAAAAAACGGTGACACGTGTTAATTAATGAAAGAATTTAACGGCTATTACAACCCGAATTCTAAAAGTGTAACAAATAAAACATTAAACACCTACATTAATATAATTTTTAGACACCTAAAATTAACTTTGTGTATAGTTTAAACATTTATTTGTATATTAAACCTCTTAATTAATATCACAAGTTGAAATGGGTGATTTAAGAAAAAATATGTCTTAAAGTATTTTTAAGAAAATAAAAATAAACCATTTTTAATGTATAATTTTAAATTATAAATTAACACTTAAATTATTAGTTAATTAAATCAAAAGATATTGATATATTATACAATATATTTAAATTATTAGTTTTTCATGAACCAAACGATTTCGATGGTAAAGACTTTTTTAGGTCTTAGGTTCGAGTACTATAAATGTCATATGTATGAGCATTCAATATTAAATGATTGAGAGTTATCTTTGAATATATACGCTATCATACTTACCTCAAATAAATCAAATATTTTTATAATGTTTATGCTATTGAGAAAACAACACTATTAAAAAAACTAAAATTAAATTGATAAAAATATAATAATCAAAATAGTTAATTAATTAATTAAACTAAATAATAACATTATCAAAATCTAGAATTGAAAACACCAAAACCATAAATTTACCCAAAAAGAAAATGGTCAAAATTGAGAGTCCAACAAGATAATAAATCCTTGAAAAAGGAAATTCCACAAAGTAGACCCACTTCTCTCTTTCAAAATTTCAGGTTCAGACAAAAATCTCATCAGCTGCCTTACAAGACTACCACCCACTTTGCATATCATTATTGAACCTTCCCCTTTCTCTCCGCCAATAATATAAACCCTCCGCCCCATCTCCGCCGTCTACGCCACCACCAACGCCAAAGACACTAACCTTTTACAGAAGAAAACAGAAAAGGAGTTCCAAGCTTTGTTATATTGCTTTAACTAAACTTTTCCCAGATTTCAAAAAAGGATTTTTTTTCCTTCATATTTTTTTTTGCGAATTCTGCTGTTTTTGTTGGGGTTTTAATTAGTGGAAGTTGATAATGGAGTTGCCGGAGAATCCTGATAAGGATAATAACGGCTACGAATCGGCGGAGAAAATAATCCTACGGTGGGATTCAACTGTATCGGAGGAAGCAAGAGAGAAAATGATCTTCGAGACGGATCGTCACGAAGCCGATCTTTACCTACAAGCTGTCGATGAAATCCAACGGTCCTTATCCAACGCCTCAATCTCGAACAACACCAACGCCGCCGCCGCCGCCGCTGCCGATGACCAGTCAAAAGTCAACTCCACGATCCAGATCGCCATGGCTCGTCTCGAGGACGAGTTCCGCAACATCCTCATGACTCACTCTTCCGCTTTGGAAACCGATTCCCTTTTCGATCCCTCATCGTCTTCATTTTCAACGCCTTCTCACCACGAGCTCGAAGAAGACGAAACCGTAAGCAACGAAGATAGCAGTCAAAACGATCTCCTTCACCTTGAGCTTAAGCACTGTGCATCATCGGACAGCTCCACTTACCGATCTACGAGCAGTATCCGAGAAGTGGATCTGATGCCGGTCGAAGCGGTTTGCGATTTGCAAGCGATTGCGACGAGGATGATCTCGTCTGGGTACTTACGGGAGTGCACTCAAGTGTACGGAAGCGTCAGGAAATCGGCCATCGGCTTGAGTTTTCGGAAACTCGGAATCGAGAAACTCAGTATCGGAGACATCCAAAGGCTTGAATGGGAAGCTTTGGAGAGTAAAATCCGGCGGTGGATTCGAGCTACCAAAGTCTGCGTTCGGATTTTGTTTGCCAGTGAGAAGAAACTTTGTGAGCAAATCTTCGAGTGTGTTGGTACGGATATTGATGATGCTTGTTTCATGGAAACAGTTAAGGGGCCAGCAATTCAGTTGTTTAACTTCGCTGAAGCCATAAGTATAAGTAGGAGATCACCTGAGAAGCTTTTCAAGATACTTGATTTACATGATGCTTTGATGGATTTGTTGCCTGATATCGAGGCAGTTTTCGATTCGAAATCATCGGATTCCATTCGAGTTCAGGCTGCCGAGATTTTATCCAGGTTAGCCGAGGCTGCTAGAGGGATTCTGTCCGAATTCGAAAGCGCGATTTTAAGAGAGCCCTCCAGGGTGCCTGTCCCTGGTGGAACCATCCATCCTTTAACTAGGTATGTGATGAATTATATCAGTTTGATATCTGATTATAAGCAGACTTTAATTGAGCTCATAATGTCGAAACCATCAACGGGTTCGAGGTATTCTGGTGATCAATCTACCCCGGATATGGAGTTTGCTGAGTTGGAAGGGAAAACTCCTTTAGCTTTGCATTTGATTTGGATTATAGTCGTTCTGCAATTCAATTTAGAGGGAAAGTCCAAACATTATAGAGATGCTTCTTTGGCACATTTGTTTATCATGAATGTTCATTATATTGTTCAAAAGGTTAAAGGGTCACCCGAATTGCGGGAAATGATCGGGGATGATTATTTGAGGAAGTTGACCGGGAAGTTTAGGCAGGCAGCGACTAGTTATCAGAGAGCACTTGGGTGAGTGTTTTATATTGTTTGAGAGATGAAGGGTTGCATGTGAGTGGGAGTTTCTCTTCTGGTGTGTCGAAGAGTGCATTGAGAGAAAGGTTTAAGACTTTCAATGCCATGCTTGAGGAGGTTCATAGGACTCAAGCGACATGGTTGATACCTGATACTCAACTGAGGGAGGAACTAAGGATTTCTATATCTGAGAAGTTGATCCCGGCTTATAGGTCATTTCTCGGGCGTTTCAGGAGCCATATAGAGAGTGGAAAGCACCCGGAGAATTACATCAAGTATTCAGTCGAAGACTTGGAAACTGTCGTGTTGGATTTCTTCGAGGGATACCCACCATCTCACCAGCACTTGAGGAGGAGATCTCAGTGAAGTAGGGATCTGATGTAAGATGAGACTATTTTGCCATGGTAGAAACTAGGAGAACATTCTTTCAATTTTTTTCAGGTATTTGGGCAAAAAAATGTGCATGCTGGACATGGGGCTGCCCGAGCTCTCTAATTCGATTAAACGAGACCCAATCTTGTTGCTTCCTCATCCTGTGGAAATGGTGCCTAATGCTTTCTGCATTGTAAGCATTATGTTGGTTTGTTACCTCGTTCTACATTTTGCTCCATTTGTTCATATGGTTTATTGTTGTATTTGTAATTTAGAATTTTGTATGCGTGTTTGCTTTTTTCCAGTATTAGTGATATGAAGAAGCATTTTTTGAGGCATCCTTGACTGTTCCCCAAAGTTAATTCAATCATAGTTTTCCTCAAATTCTAAATTTTTGTTACTTGGACTTGAGAGGTCATATCCTCATATACAAGTGTTAGACTCATGTATCGGGCACAGGTACCTATTGAAAAATGAAGAGTCCGAGTAACATGAACGATTACAAAATAGCCGGCCATGGGTATTAATATAAAAGGAAGCATGTCATAAGTTGTCTTTCCCATTGGATACCTACAAGAGATCAAAAACTCAACTAAATTAGATAACTGATGAACAAAAATACAATCTGAACAGCTGACTCTCTTGTTGTAATGATTGGCTTGCCATATCCAGGTTGATACCATTGTAGTTTCAAAGAAAATTTTCTTGTCACTCTGTCTTGTCTTCTTCTAGATCCCCATTTGATGCTCCATTACTGCCCTGCAATGGTCTAGCCTCTGTAGCGCTTCTCGATTCTTTTGTAGGCGTTGGCGATGGTTTTATGAGTGTCAGATTAGTTTGGTCTTTGTCAAAATCTTCATTACCATCATCGGAGTAAGCATGCCTGTTAAAGATCAGAACAACAGACCACCAAATGTGTAAGTTGGACGGACATTGAAAAAAGAGCTCTACGAGTTCCAAATCGGAACTAAAGACACAGCCAAAGGCTTAGACCTCGACAATATATAGATCTTACCGAGTCGAATTTCTAGAGGCCTTCCAAAGAACTCAGATGACGCATAGCATAGAGAACGATAAGAGTTGCCAAAAGGCCGGATGATCCAGGCATTTTGCCACTGCTCATTGTAAACGTCGTTCGACTTGAAATAAAGCTGAAAATACAGAGTTACGGAAGTTGTAAGATGCCAGTGGTTTGACAACAATGACATTTCTCATTCCTCTGTCTCATACTTTCTATTCTAAAGATGCAAGACTGCATAATGCTTTCGTGTAAAATTATACGAAAGCAGCCGAAAGATAGCATCGAAAATATGGATTCGACTACCTCGTAATACGTCCAACCCACGGATGCGATAACGGCTACCTCCAGTGCATTTGTGAACTTCCTGTATATAACCAGTTTTACCATCATCCTTCTAGCCTGTTGCACCAATATACCATTGTTAAACTTTCATCGTAGAATTTCAAAAGATAAGATAAACTCGATAACCGGATGCACGTATGATTACTGCAATTATTTGACAAAGTTGAAGAAGAAAACATACCTGAAGTTTATTTAAAGTTGCAGAGAGAGAAGTAAATATCCAAAGAATGAAGAAGGCATCTAAGATTGCGACGGGAAGAACCAAAAACAGTTTCGCCTTTCCCGAAAGATCACTCACCGCACCGGCATTTTCCATCAGTTCAAGAAGTTCGGATGCCAGAAAGAAGGTTACTCCAAGCATGATTACCTTCGAAGTCAGCCAGCAGAGGGTCGGCCTCACGACACCGTAACCCATAGAAACCATCAAAATAATAATCCGTGAAACCGTACGTTTGATAGTACCGAAGGTAACAGCCCACATGGTGATGCCGACAGGCCTGATACCATTCTCGTTGAACTCGGCATAATCGAAATACCAAAGAGCCATCTCAAGCATGACGAGCGTTATCACCAATGTTATACAGTTCTGCAAAGGAAGCACATCTCTCCAAAATCTAGCATACTGCGAGAACCAAAAGATTCCGAGGATCACGAAAACAAGCGACATGAACATGTAGAAGTTCATCAGCGGCGCCATTCGACCGGGTTGACAGCCGGCAGGATTCTTCCAGACAGCCTTCCCCTCCACAGTCAAATCTTTATGGTTTGCATCACAGTGAATGAAGTACAAGTTATACATCCCGGTTTTACTAACCTTTATAGACCTATATCTCAATCTTGCAACCTCATCATCTTCCTTAAAAGCAACACCCAACACCTTGGGCCAGTTCGGAGTCGCGGTGGAAGGGCGATAAATAACTTCGCCTTCCAAACAAACACCGAGTTTCGCAAGATCCTCCGTGCAACAAACAGCTCTTTGACCCCCCTTAAGCTGAACCCACATCGTCTCCCTATCTTCCACCTCGAAAAGAACTGATTGTATCAGCATCGTGCTGAAGTTAGCCGATTCTTTCGGTCTACGGAATGTAAACATCTCGAATTTGGTTCAATATTACCCACAGTTTAAGGCATTCAGAAAAAGAAAACGAAATGAGAAACACCTTCAATGTTTAACAGTCTTCAGACATCTAAATACAAGCAATTGACACTTAACAAGTTTGTTGATGGAACAAAGAGGCTCACCCTTTCTGATTTGGGAAAGGTTCTCCCGAGAACAAAAGACCTTCCCTCATAACTTCCTCCAAGGTCTTTTGTTCTTTGGGTACTAAAAGATTCAATCTTTCTATTTTAATTCAGTTCAAGAACATACAGACTTCAACAATCCTAATTCAGTACCAGATCCTCACAGTTCTCAAATCCCACGCAATTCAGCAAAAGCACCACTGAAACTATCAACAAAACCAAGAGATCTAAAAGCTAAAATCAGAAGAAACTTGCATACAAAAAGGGGGAAAATGAACTAATAAAATTACTTTTTGGGGTCAGACAAAGAAGGTATAAATCAAGTCACCTTCTACGAATAAAATTATATTTATATTCGTTTATTTATTTTTAAAGATATTAATATTCTGTTGTGTTTGTTTTAATTTTTTAATATCGTATTTATGTTTATTTATTTATTTTTGAAGATGTTAATATTTATTTATTTATTATTCACGAACGTATTTGTTTATATGTTTACGAACGCGTTCATTTAACGTTCGTTTATCGTTTATTTATATATTTAATTTTTAATTTTTACCCTTTCATTTGAAAGTTAAAGAAAAATAGAAAAATTATGCTAATAATATTTAAACTCCTTAAAATTTACAATTTACAATTTTAACTTTTACCAAGTGTTCAATTTAATCTCTATCTTTTTTAAAATGTAAAAAGATAAAAGGAAAAAGAGAATTGGCTAAACAAGCTTAAATTAAACATAAATGAATGAATCGATAAACGAGCTTATTCGTGAACATAAACAAACAGGATACGCCTCTGTTCATATTTGTTCGCTTATTAAATGAACATAATTTTTGTGTTCATATTCGTTTATTTAACGTAACAAACGAACATAAATGAACGTTATATGAACAATTCATCCAACGCTTTATTCATTTACACGAAAATCAATACGGATGATAATTAAAAAATAATAATAGGCACAAAAGTAACGGAATTAAACACAGGTTACTGGCCTTTTCTTCTGAATAAATTAGACACGATAGATTAAATTGAGTACAAAATTTTATCTAAATAATTCAACAAATAAAGTTTTCTATTAGTTGATTAAGTTGGTCCTATAAAATTTATTGGGCCATTATACATAAACTGAGTGGTTTCAATACTTGGAATGGCCTGGCCCGTGTGCATATTTCAGTTTTTAAAAGAAAAGCGGTTAATTTTTCTATATGTCCTTTAACTATGTCCCGTAACTTATATTGGTATCTAAACTTTAAAATATTTTGATTAAGTATCCAAAGTGTCAATATTGTACTGGTTAAGTCCTTTAATAACCTGCCTAACCGTTACTCTACAATTAAATTCGGTATCATGGATAAATCATACAATTTAATAAAAAAAATATTAAATTCATATTTCTTTTATATAATATATAATTTAAAAAGAAGTTTCTGGATAAGGAATAAGCAAGATCACCAGCAATTGTCTACTGTGATTTCGGTTTTGATTTTTCAACCATCTACGTAAAGATTAGGATTATTATTTGTCGACTTCTGTAAAATATAATTGTAAGTGTTATTTTGTACGAGACTAAAAGCTCGATTTACGGTCTTCCCAAATTGACAGGAAATGCATACGTACGACAGTTTTAATATACAGTTAAAAAATGTGTTATTGATTTTCAATTAAAAATAACTGAAAATATTATTATTTCTATCGATTTAGTTATTATTATTAATTACCGAGATAAAAAAATCGATACAAAATAATATTTTCGATAAAGTGATACCTAAAACATTATTTTTTTTAACCGAATTTTTTTCTATCAATTTTACCTATATCAGAAATTATAACTAAGTAATAATATTTTAGCTCATTTTTTATCAAACTTATTATTTAAATAATAACAAATCGAATAACAACTTATTTTAACCATATATTAACACTTCCCCAAATTGACAAGCAGCATAGCAAATTTGCTGACATGGAATTTACTAGAGTCCACCCTCTTTGAAGTTTCAATCATTGCCATCCCTTTACTTCTCCACTCTCTCTCATAAGTGCTTCCCAGAATCCCAGTGGAGAATTTTGTTGCAACACAAAGACAATAAGTAATCCCTTTGTTTTCCAAGTATAAGGTCGATCTGGGTCTCTGGGTTTCTCCCAAAATTAATTAAAAAGGGGGTCTCTGAGGTATTTGCACAGAAACCACAAAGCAAAAAGGAAAGTCTGTTGAAGATGAAATGGTTTTCATGTGTGAGATTTTCTTCACGGGAGGAAAGTTAGAAGAAGGAGAGTGGGAAAAAGAGAGATAACACGAAAAGAATAAGAAGAAAATATCTATTTTTTGCCTAAAATCCGTAGTAGAAGAAGTCCCGGGGGGGGGGGGGAGATTTTTTAGCAAATAACAAGAACCCTAAGTTTTTGTTTCATCTGCTTATCTACTGGTAATTTACTTTGAACAGCCTTTTATTTTCCTTTTAATTTTCTTATATTTGCCTGGTTTTGTTTTTTTTAAATGTGGGCGTAGGCGATTCGACAGGGTTATGTTAAACCGAAATTTCATGGCTAGCTGCATTTTGGTTATGATACTTGCCTTGTGTGAGCACAAGATTTTGAACAAATTAGCAAAACTGTCTAATCTTTTTGTTTTTAGTTGAGAAAAAAAATATGGGAATTCATTGATTCAATTGGTTTAGTTGTTAATAATGCAATCTCTAGCTTAATCTTAGGTAAGCTATACTATAACTCATGTCAAAGTTTGATACTTTAGGGTATAAAAACGTAATCAAACTTATGGTATTGTGTTTGGTCTCAAACAGGGGAAATTGGCTACAGTAATGACCGAGGCTGTATCAGCCCCAACGCAAGAAAATCAAGCAACTCCGGCGAAAGCACAAACCAATGTCGAGTTTGCGAATTGCGATTGCTGCGGACTTACCGAGGAGTGTACCCCGACCTATATCGATAAGGTCCGCCAACGGTACCAAGGGAAATGGATATGTGGTCTCTTTGCTGAAGCAATCAAAGATGAGATCATAAGGACTGAAAGGCTTATCAGTACCGAGGAAGCAATGGTTAGGCACATGAACTTTTGCCGAAAATTCGTCTCCTCCTGACCACCTCCCGATCCTACGGCTCATCTGATATCTGCTATGAGAAGTATTCTTCGAAAAAGTTTGGATCCTGCGAGAGGTTTAAGATCGACCTCTCCGATTAGTTAATAGAGGTATAAGAGACGATGTGTGTAACACCCCAATTTAGGGGTTAACTTTAAGAAATTATAAAGTGGTGAATGTAATTGGTATTTTTGGAAGGAATTGAGGATTAAATTGTAACATTTCAAAGTTGGCAGATCGTTATAAGAAGTGCAGGAAGTTCAACGACTAAACTCATGGTTTACCTATTTTTATTATGAGTTGAATTATAAATCCTCCATTCCCGTATGTTTTCTGGAAAATTTTCCAGATTTTCCCTCTCCGATCAATCAACTTTCAACTCCGATCTACTCGCCTTCCGACCTTCGATCGACAAGCCGAAACCACCATCGTGTTCATTGTCAACCGAGGAACAAAACCCCTATTCCCGTATGTTTTTTGGAAAATTTTCCAGATTTTCCCTCTCTGATCAACCAAATTTCAACTCCGATCTACTCGCCTTCCGACCTTCGATCGACAAGCCGAGACCACCATCGTGTTCGTTGTCAACCGAGGAACAAAACCCCTAAAACCTTTCGTCGTGAATCATCGCCGTTCGTCGTTAATTTCAGTCGGAAGTATCGTCGGTAATAACTCAGTTTTAGTTGGTTTTTCATCGATTCATGACAATCGGGTCATCCGTTTACGACACCTCCCGCACCATCGTGTTCATTGTGCCGTTTCGAGTTCACCGGTGTCCTCCCTTTTCTCCGGCGGCGGCGGCGCGTGTGGAGGTGAAGCGGTCAAAGTTTCTGATTCGATGAAATCAAGCTCTCCGCCGTTCAAAAAATTGAACCGAGCTTTGTAAGTATCTCGAAATCGCTTAAAATAATTTTTAGGAATTTTTTCGGGAATTTACCGATATCAGGGCACTATTCCACTGCGCGTGGGGAAGACAAAAGTGACCGGTTTAACCGGTTTTGGTGCACAGTTGACCGATTTGATCGGTCACAACCCGACCCGACCCATTGACCCGACCCGACCCATTGACCAGACCCGTTAACCGTTGATCGGCGTTGACCATTGTTGACCAAAACTTTGACGGGCTTTGATCGGGCATTAAACGACCTTTGTTTTTGACCGAATATACCTATCCTGACATTTTTCGACGTTCCAAATCCGATTCCGCAGTCTGTTTCTCGAAATTCAGACCCGAAGGCCTCGAAATTCGCAGTCAAACCCGTTGACTTTGATATTGACCGAAAATTCCAAATTTTCGAAAAGTCATATTTTATACTTTCGACGTTCTGAATCTGAATCCGAAGTCCGTTTCGCCAAATTCGAACTCGGTAAGCTGTCTTTCACTGATTTATCACCCAATTCGATCCGTTTATCGCAAATAAGCTCCGTTTCTGATATAATTTATGTTGATATGTATCTGAGGAATTATTGGAAGTTGAATTGAAGATCAAAGGCGTTTGAATGGAATTTTTTATGGTCGATCAGTATTGCACGGAAATCGATGTAATACTTTACTACCTCTTTATGCTTTATGAAACATGCTTATATTGATAAATGCATGAACAATATAATGTTGGTCACTTTGGTGGAGTTGAATAATTTATACACTCGATATGATGTGGTAGAAATTCTGTAAATAATTACGGATCGAATGACTAATATAAGAGATTGAGGAATTGTTAGATTAAATTACAAGTTTGTGATTAGTGATAAAGAAATCAGTCCTGTATCTGCAACTTATAATTTATTTCATCAAAGGTTAAATGTTAAAGGTACTTGGATGAGAAATTATGAGAATACTCTGGTAG